CTATTACCATGGTAACATTCTTAGTATGAATTTTTAAATCTTGATTGCGAATGTATATATTTATGTATATTTTGCACAAGCAATGATTTTGCATAACAATGTCCTGTAATCTTGACTCTGAGTATCAAAACAATTGAAATTCCTACAGAGAATGACTCTTAACTCTACATAGGATACATTGGTTGCTATGTGCTCAGAATCGTTGCCATGGAAAAATCAAGTGAAAAATAGAATTTTATAAGATGTTAATTGCATCGTAATATTTGCCTAATCACAATTTTACAGCATGCTTTGAAAAATCCTTAACAAAGGGTATGTGAAGATGCTAAAATTATTATTCTATGATCTATTCAAAGATAACAAATTATGTGATTTATGACTTTAGCATTTTACATTTTTTTCTCTTTTTATTCATCAAAACATCCATTTTTGTTGCCAGGCAACGGATAGGAATGTCAAAAAATTATACGCTTCTGAATTCAAATTCTGAAAGACAAAATCCTCTGCTTTAATGTTATATACACAGGATGTCTGTATGAGGTCCATCACTGGAGTAATTAGGCATTGAATAATTCCAAAATCAAGGAAAATGCTGAGTCAGCAAAAAAGGAAAAACATGCATATATTCCCTCATCTATCACAGATATATCTTTAAATCTTATTTCTATATTTTTGATTGTGAAAACTGTTAAGATCATTATCTTGAGAATAACAGCAATGAAAAAGAAATTCTTTTAGTATTGACATTTAATTTGAGCCTGAAAGATATGAGATTTTTTAGTCCATCGAAGCTGAAAATTGGCTGGTTGCTAGGGAAATTTCTCTACCCATGTTTCCATGGTAACCGTGAATCAAAACATTTTTCCTTTTGCATACATGTTTCATAGGGCAAAAGAAAACTATGTGTGGAAAATCATCAAATTCTGAGAACCCTCATATATCACCCTTTGCATGATTTTTACACAGAACTGTACTTAATTAATACTCTTGACAGGCAAAATGAGTTTTCCCCACCATATTATTGATTTTTACTCTGATTAGTAGATTGATTTATTGTGATGTAACATTACCGTTGCGACTTTCAATAACATAACTACACACAAAAAAGAAAATAATTAATTTAAAAAAGGTAATTAATTATGACGTAAATACGCTAGCACTACAGACAGCATGCAGATAGTGCATGTAATAAAAATCAGTTATAATTGAATGTTGATAAATGAAATCAAAATACTATTTTGTCGGTTGCTTTGTTTTTCATATAACTGAACAATCATTGACTGTGTTTCCGGGCAAAATTAATTATTTTAGCGCACTTGAAACGAAAATATTGCCCCGGCTCCACGTTGGGCAATATATCAACCCTTGGGGGTTAACATGATCAATGTTGCCCTCATCCCCTGTCAATATTTGTATAATATTATGACTACATATCTTTAAAGTTTTACTTATATTGAGAAGTGTTAACAGTGTAACCATTTAGGACATGGATGATTCAAAAATATAGCAAGTTCGATGATTCTTAATAGCACTATAATTTTATTTTTAAAAAAAGTTGTCCATGGCATTGGATAATTAATATGAAGAACAGAGTATGAAAACATCTTAAATGATGAGATCCATCGTTGAGATAAATAAGGGGCTGAGGGGGGAATATGAGTGGTCTAGATGCTGTTTTTCTGACTTTTGTGGTTCTCACAAAACGACGCTTAATCAAAATTTAAAAAAAAAAGTTACTAACGTGTTGATTTGCATACCTTGTTATTAGTCATGTACAAACGAATTTTGCTGAAACATAATCAGATTAGACACACAAGTACTCCTAAGGTAATATACAAAGGTGCTTGGGTTTCTGATTGACAATGCTTAGGGAGTTTTGGAGACTAGGTCTTTCAACAATCTGTTATAAGCAGACCTGTTTTTTTAGTATTGATATGAAGAGTTTATTGAAAAACTTTTACATGAATAGAGGTCTCTTGCTGTGGGCTTCAATTCGATGTTAAGATATATGGACAATGTTTTGTCAATTGACAATATTAATTTCCATTCCACCATTGATTCCATATATCCTTTTGAACTGGAGACACCGAATGTCGGACACATTCGTTTTATATTTGTATATCTAAGTAGGGAATGACAATGATGACAAACTACCACTAAACTAAACGTGATTGCATCAACATTTCTATCCTCATCTTCCCTTATTAATGTAGCAATATACCATTATTACCTGCAGATGGGGTTTAATACCCAAGTTGATTCGACGTTCCATGTGCGAACAATTTCGCAAGCTAATGACAATTAAGTTACTGAATTCCGAAACAAGAGTAACAGTAGTCTCATTTAAAGTAAACATTTTTCAAATTTTATAGTCAATACAATCAACTTGTTATCGTTAAGTTGCATGTTGACTGACGCTTTTTTAGAAAATTTTTAGTCATTGTTTTCATATTGAATAATCTATAGATTTTTCCGTTTATTGAATAATAACAAAGAGCACAAGACAGGTCGACAAGTGATGCTTACTCCTCCATGGTGCCCCGTCCAATCTCTGATATTTTTAGAGGCCTACGTATCTTCTTTGCTTATATTTTATATTGTTTCAATGGATTTTGAGCTTGCTTACTGTTCGTTATTTTCATATTTCATACCAAGGATACTTATACTAAAATAATTGAGGTGGAAATCACTTTCTCTAAAGAAAAGAGGTTTAAATTTTTGTCAAAAGAACCTGAATAAGAAAAAAAAAATATTCGGTTTTGATAAGACAGAATATCAAGTAAAAAAATCCGAGTTGTTTTTTTTTTCTAAAATTGAATGAGCCGATAGGAAAGGAGCACAACTCAAGATAAAAATTTGTCGACGATAAACATTACATTAGAAAAAAAAATAATCACAAACTTAGTTGAAACATGTATAGGAGGCGAACAGTATATATAAACAAGAACAGGACATTAAAGCACAAAACAAAATAAGGAAGAATCACCTTTGCTTTCTTCTAGATTGTGTCTTATCATATCAAGTTTACTCCTGTTATGGAGGAAAATATGTGACCCTTCAATTTGATGTACAAAGAAATTTATGCATTCTTTCAAAAATTAAAAACAGCGAAAAGGTACATGCAGCATATACATTGGACATGGATTTATTTGTTTGAACTGCTGTATATATAGCCTTTACTCATATGAATTGTTCTTTTATCAATTTAATGAGCTTTTATAGTTCATTCGAAAGACATAAAGGTCCTTACCTAGAAATTCAGACTTATAGAGAGAGGAAGTAAGAGAGTAGTGTTTGCATAATATAAATAGAAAATCAATTTAACTCAAACTAAACCATCCAGGTAGAACTCTTATGCCTAACACAATTAGGTGATGTGTGGGCACGGAATGTATTTTAAATAACTCTGTATTATGTAAGACAACGTGGCCCTAAATTTAAAACAAGAGGCCCATGGGCCACATCGCTCACCTGAGCACATTGGCTAGGCAAAAGCACAGGATGCTTCCATATAAATATGACTCATCATGGCTTTGCTGTTCTTGAGAAGAAGATTTTTAAAGGTTTTTCAATATATTTCTATGTAAAACTTTGATCCTCTATTGTGGCCCCACCCTACCCCCGGGGGTCATGATTTGAACAAACTTGAATCTACACTATCTGAGGATGCTCAGGTATGACTCATCCTGGCCTGCTGTTCTTGAGAAAAAGGTTTTTAAAGATTTTTCCTTTATATTTCTAAGTTAAACTTTGATCCTCCATTGTGGTCCCGCCCTACCCCCGGGGGTCATGATTTGAACAATCTTGAATCTACACTACCTGAGGATGCTTCCATATAAATATGACTCATCATGGCTTTGCTGTTCTTGAGAAGAAGATTTTAAATGTTTTTCCTATATATTTCTATGTAAAACTTTGATCCCCCATTGTGGCCCCACCCTACCCCTGGGGGTCATGATTTGAACAAACTTGAATCTACACTACTTGAGGATGATTCCATATAAATATGACTCATCATGGCTTTGCTGTTCTTGAGAAGAAGATTTTAAAGGTTTTTCAATATATTTCTATGTAAAACTTTGATCCTCCATTGTGGCCCCGCCCTACCCCCGGGGGTCATGATTTGAACAAACTTGAATCTACACTATCTGAGGATGCTTTCATATAAATATGACTCATCATGGCTTTGCTGTTCTTGAGAAGAAGATTTTTAAAGGTTTTTCAATATATTTCTATGTAAAACTTTGATTCTCCATTGTGGCCCCACCCTACCCCCGGGGGTCACGATTTGAACAAATTTGAATCTACACTATCTGAGAATGCTTCCATATAAATATGACTCATCATGGCTTTGCTGTTCTTGAGAAGAAGATTTTAAAGGTTTTTCAATATATTTCTATGTAAAACTTTGATCCTCCATTGTGGCCCCGCCCTACCCCCGGGGGTCATGATTTGAACAAACTTGAATCTACACTACCTGAGGATGCTTCCAAATGAGTTTCATCTTTCCTGGCCCTGTGATTCTTGAGAAGAAGAGTTTTAAAAGATGTTATTAATTTTTCACTAATTCTTTATTATCTCCCCTTGAAAGAGGGCCTGGCCCTTCATTTGAAACAAACTTGAATCCCTTTTACCCAAGGATGCTTTGTGGCAAGTTTGGTTGAAATTGGCCCAGTGGTTCTGGAGAAGAAGTCGAAAATGTGAAAAGTTTACAGACAGACGGACGGACAGACGGACTACAGACAAAATGTGATCAGAAAAACTCACTTGAGCTTTCAGCTCAGGTGAGCTAAAAAGTGCGACACGGTTTTAAAGCGTAGTTTGTTACTCTTTGTTAATTTTATCAAATACATCAAAGTAGCAAATATGGAAGGAGTGCCATAGAGTTTATCAAGTTTTTACAGGTATATCCTTCGACTGACATTTTTATCAGAAAAATCAATACTCAATTAATTATTTTTTTTTACTTTCGGTTTGTGTTATCTACGTCGGTCAAACCAAAATTTAACTGCAGAGATTTTAAATGGAAAATGGTTAGCAGAGCGACATACTTCCTACTCCTTATCTTGCCTGTAATCTCTGGATTTAATATCGGTATCAAGGGGGTCAATATTTTGACTGGAGAACCTGGATCTATGTTTGGATATTCCCTAAACTTCGCCACCCGGCGTAATAATGTATGGTAAGTTACAACGACGCCGAGATTCATTCATATTCAAATATCATTTAATACTTAAACGTTACATCCGATTGACGCCAGGATTGATTGTGATTGTGCAGTCTAGAAACCACTCCACTGTGTCCGTCAGTCTGTCATATCTAGGGGCAGGGGGTATATTCTTTGTGTAACCTGTGTTTCCAAAAGTTTAAAACAGCATAATTAAGACTGCTCACAGCAAATGATTTGATCTAGGACACATTATAAAACTGCCAGTTGAGTACCTTCTCTTTAAAATTCTTTTATCGTTCATTTTTACCTTATATCTATAGAAATTCTTTTACAAACAATGTTTCAGCTATAATCTTAAGATCTTTACTCAGTATGTAATTTGTCAATTTTGAATATATATAAATGAAAATGAAAGAGATGTGAGTTAGGAATTTTGTTGTATGATGAATTTTTAATTTTTATTTTGTACAGGTTGTTGGTTGGAGCGCCAAAGGCAACAGATAAAGCCCAAAATTTGATCACAGGGACTTTGTACTACTGTACCCCTCCTCTTAGGAATTTGACTGACTGCAAACAGCTTTCAAGTGGACAACTCCCAGGTAAATATTATGACGAATAAAACTTAGCATCTTACCAAAATAATCCTATTGAAAAATCGTTTTATATACACGTTATTCCTGAACAAAAGACAAATTAAAGCAGAATTTGGAACCTTTCAAATCTGATTATACACTCTACGCCACATTATTAAAATACTACATTTTCAAGAATCTAACTAAACTCAAGAAATAAATCGTTGTGGTAATATGATTTCCTGGCAGAAGGAATTCCTATCTTCTAAATGACACCATGGCGGTTTTAAGAGCCTGTACTGGCCACAAACACTAGCTTTTATTCTGCATTTAAAAAATCCGAGCATGGACTTGCCTCAGCTTCTTCAGATTATCCATTCAAAAATTACAAGGGAACCACATAAAAGTTAGTGCAAATATGACGAAAACGAATGTTTATTCACGTAAGGCAAAATGAATCAAAGGAAATACCATGTATATTTAGTCAACTGCATGTATGATCGATATTCAAGACTACGCCTACGTCTAGGTGTATTGTTAAAAAGTCCCATCACATTCACACTGACACATTGTGGGCTTGAAATAAGTTACTTAAAAAATGCAAAAAGAAATGGAAATATATTTAAAACTATGTGTTTTATTTGTATTATCTAACCACTTATTGCAGCTGTAAGCATCACCATCTTAACTACATATAGTCAAACAGAGAAAGTGTCTTACTAAAGATTTGCTTATTTCACATGGCGAGAAATAAGGTGTAGTTTGACCCGTTTGAAGTGCTTTATAGAACATTTACCTGAAATTGTAATTATTGTACATTATTTTGCATACTATAGCCCAGTAAACGTATTTTATGATTATTGTATGATAAACTTCAAAAGAAAACAGACTAACACACTGGGAAGATAACGGGGACAACAAATTATATTGACCACACACACACCTTTCTTATGAAATAATTCTTTGTCACCCAGGTGTAGTACTAGGAGATGAGTTTACAGAACAGCGGTCAGAGATGTGGCTGGGAGCTTCTGTTGACGTGGGACAATTTGCCGAGGCAGTCACGGTAAATCTAATTAATGTGCAATGTTTGCATGTAGCAGTCGATCTCTGCAAATGTTTAAAGCAATCTGAGCTGCAACTTTGATGTCGAAACTTTTGTTGTAATACTAATATTGTAATCATGTATTTCAATGACAGAAAAAAGAACGTTTCTAAACTTCTGTTGTTCATATTTGCGATGGAAGAACTGTTTATAAGTTTTGTTTGAAGAAAAACTACATTATTGTCCTGTACAATATTAATTCTGATAAAATACTATACACTCCATTGTACAAAAATCTTTCTTCTGAAACACTTTCTTGTTTTATTTTAGTCTAATTGATCGTAAACTTTTAAGTCACATGAAGATTTTTTCATAAGAGCACATTTTAACAGCAAAATAAAATTCTTACAAATGCAGCCCATATTGTTTAAATCTATGAAACATGAGTGGAAAGTCTTCTGGATTCCATTGGAAAGAAATTATTTTTCTGGTAATATTTCTCGTATATCTTAAAAATTAATTTTGCAGGAAAAAAATTCAATATATGTTTGCTTGACAAAACACACCCTTTTGGATTGCAAATTATGTCGTATCACTATAGTAGTGAACGAAGAGAGGAAAATTTGCCTTATCCTCTCTTATAAAAGAGAATGATTTAGACAGCAAAATAAACATAACAGGGAAATTCTTATGACGTTACCTTTAAAGCAATGTAGCTTTTAAAAGAGGGATTGTATATAAAACCTACAAACAAACGAAAAAATATAAAATAGAAGATAAGTAAGAAAAAAGTGGACAATCCCAGAATCTATACGTATCGAAATATATTCTGCTTAGTCCTTCACCCCCCCCCCCCCCTCCTCCCAAAAAAAGATATATATATATATATATATATATATATATATATATATATATATATATATATATATATATATATATATATATATATATATATATATATATATATATATGGAAACGTTTTGTTTATGAATTATCATACACTAAAATATATCGATTTGAACAAGCCTTTAGAAGGCTCCACTCCAAATTGCCCTCGAAGGATACAATCAGACCAATATATTTTTTACCTTGGCCAGTTACAAATCTGTTTGGATTAGTCATGGAGATATCCATTATAAATGACCATTTAGCAGCATATATAGAACGCTTTTATAAATATTTTCAGTTCTGTGCACCACGTTGGAGAAGAAATGGTCCTGATGGTAATGTTACTGCAATGAATGGATTGTGTTATGAAGTACCATTTGGAGTATTAGAAGGGGACGATTCTGGGCTCATAAATCCAGCAATATTGAACGGGTTGTATAATTCTGATCCCTCAGATCAATTTACGGAGTATGACGAGGCTATGTTCAACCAGACCATCAAATACGGAGTATCGGCTTCAGGACTTTCTATAACGTACAATGGCAGTGAAGTAAGACTTCAAATAAAAATAGTATCAATAAATTCTTCATATATATCATGTTACTTCTAACAAGAAATCTTTATAGCATTGGAAAATTACAATTGGCCTTAAGCTTGCAAAATATCGCGGTGAAAAACTATAAGATATACTAATTCTATTTCAGATTTGGATTGGTTCACCGGGTTTAAATGAGCTTGCAGGTGTGTACAATATTAAATAGGATATAATAAGTGCTTGGTTTTGTAAAGAAATACAGATCTAGAGCAACAACATTTTTTTTTTCTCGAAAACTTCTTTTTTTGACAATACATGTCTTGGTAGGGTTTCATATTCATCTTAACTATGTTACATCACCAAGATAAACGCATCAGGCCACTATGTTTCAGGATCAATTCAAAGTAATACGCAAATATTTTTTCGAGATATTTCAGAGATTTTCTTTCACAATGTCCATGCATATGACGTTTAACAAAGAGTATTATGACTCAGAAATAAACAATAAGCAAAACCAAAGGCGTCATGAGATAGAATGACTTATTTATGAAAGGTTTCTAAAAATAATTTTAAAAAGAGACACGGTGGCGAAAAATGGGAAAATCGGTAAAAAGATAATTTTTGTATGGCCCAACGCAAATTTTGTTTAATTTTTTAATAATCAAATTTATAAGTGCTGTTGCTCTCGAATTGTGTTGTTTCAGAGGACTTTTGGGCTTGATTACTCGTCGTTATCTCCATATTTCATTTTATAAGAAAACAGATTTCAGAAACTTTAAAATCTTCCTTTATGAAAGAAAAAAAATTGTTTATATCTGACCCAGGACGAAATTACTGCTTTAATCCTTCCTCTATATAATACAGTACACGTATGCAGTAAAATAAAACAAACTACAAAAGTCTCAAATCCAAAGGAGTTGAATATCAGGAGACTGCGGAATTTTATATAATCTTCAAAAAAGATAAAAAGAACCAATTCCTTTCCATTAAATGTTTCAATTCAATGTTGTTTATAAATAAAATTCGATTGACCTTGACTTGAACGAGAACATGAACGACATATAGACATGACCATTTGTTTTTCTTTGCACTCTTTGCTTGCTTGCAGGACAGGAGAGTCTGTCAAACCTTTGTTATGCTTATATTCTTTATCTCTTCAATTATGATACAAATATCATGAAAAAACATATGATTTTAACTCGGTGCGTTTCTTAAATAAACAGTCAATTGTAAATATAGATATATATTATGTAACAGTCACTTATGTCAACTAGTGTTACGTGCAAGCCAGTCATTGCAATTCCTTGCTAAAAGCAGGTAAACAATCGTACAAACTGATTTGCTGTAAACATTGTTTACAATTTGTACATTTAAATCCTTTACAACTCATATCATACTAAAGTTATGTTGTTGGAAATTTGATCCGTTACCTAAAAAAAAAAAACACACATAGTATTTAGAAAAAAAGAATAATTTAATCCTTTTTTTGCTCATCTTAACGAATATAGATCGAGTAGCTAATATCAAATCTTCGAGGCGATGTCGTTGTTGTATCTTAACAAGTTATGAGGTCTTAGAGCAGATTTTCTTCAAAGTCCAAAGAATGAAGATCGAAATTAAGGTTTCTGGAGCAGGTTAACAACTTGAAAAAGGTCTAATTACCTTAATCTACACATTCTGATGATTGACCAGAATATTGGTTTTTTTGCGGGCCCATGCCCAGGTAACTATAAGCTAAGCCTTTCGATGAGTAAATTGCCTGAATAATTTACATATACATGTATATCTATGCAGACTACCAGACTTGTTTCGAATGGTGGATTTGCCCAACATTTTCCTGATGAGTGACCAGTATGTGAAACAAATCCATTCCAGTGCATCCTTAATCTCTACCAGAACTAAAATTGCACAGATGATGCACGTAGGAATGCACACTATCAAATTTGCTTTATATGCCGTATCAGACCGACATTTTCCAGATGATGGAACAGGTTTTTGGTCCATACCTAAGTAACTATAAGCCCTACATGCATTATATTTTAAAGAAGTTCGATCATTTCCAGGTTACTGTCGGCCCTATGCTGACCAACCTTGCATGGAGGATTCATCGAAATAAGTAATCTTCTACCAGAATTGATTCGGATGCTGAGTCTTACATTTTTTGGGCGAGTGAACAGAGCTTTTGGTGCAAACCTATTCCTAAGTAACTAGAACTCCTATCCCGACCATTACTTGCAAAAAGAAGAAGGTACGGTTTTGGCTTTATTGTGCCCTAAAAATTTAATGTTTTCAAAAGTGTTGAAATTGGCACAAATATGAGTTGAGTATATGAGTGTGATAATTCATGAAAGAATATAGCATGAAGGACGACCATTCTGGAAATACGACTTCATTAATTTTGTATTTTTTTTTTAAAGTTTTAAGCAGAAAAAGACTCAAAATGACTAATTCCATGGGGTATTTTCCTTGAAAAAATAGTGTCTACGGCCGTCGCCCACGTCAATATTTGAAAATGTTGTTTAAAATTCTTTGAAAAATCCCACTTCTCAAAATATTTGTGGGCGATGCATGTGGTCTATATCATCTGAAAGAAAATTTCACTGAAAGTTGATGTTTTCTACAACGTTTTAAGAAAAATACGGGAAAATGTTTATGACGTCACAGTAGTATTTAGGAAGTCAAATGAGAAAAATGATTTGTTTGATCTTAGTGCATATAGTTTCAATATTTCAGATAGCAGGGATTTTAATGTCTTTCATCACTTTCATATTTTAGAAAAATACAGGGCCAGATTTGTGTTGAAACTGTACCTTGTTTTTTGCAAATTTGCACTCCAGAATATTTATTTATTTGGGAGTTTGGGGCATTGTCCTTTCTTATGTAAAGCATTGTCTTCACCACGCCAACGTTCTCAGCATTTTTATCTACTAGTTTTTGTAACTCAACTTTTGTATCTCTAGACTACCTTCACTAGGAAAATAAAAAATTCGCACAGCATCTCACGCGGAAGAGTGACAGACAATCTTCAGACTATAAAATCCTGGTCTTTTAGCCATGCATTTCCTTAATGTTTACTTCAATGAACATTGATAATGATAATAAATATGTTATACTTGTTGACGATTTAAAGCACAAAAAAGGGAAGTGAATTTTTTTTGGGTCAATTAAAATAATTATCGAAAATATTAGCAAAGGAAATTTTTATGTCAGTAAAGTTTTTTCATTCAACAGTTGTGAATTACTGTAAAAGAACAAACATTTGGGTAAAAAAAATGTGAAAACCAAGAAGAGAATTTTTTTTGGATTTTATTCTTTAGAAGTTATGTTGGACATTAGATCTACATCACTCATAAATTATAACCATAATAACTAAGAAATAAAAGCATAGACACCAGAAAATATGTTGTTTGTATAATTTAAGGTATTTATACTTTTGTTAGTAATTGGTAGATTTATTTTGATGCCTTTTGTATAATAAAAAATTGTGCACGTTATACGAAATCTATAAAAATATGCTTAATAATAAAAAAATAGAATAGATATTCCAAAGCCCAATTAATGACGTTACTTTCAACTGCGCATAATTTCAAATGATAAGATGCTCATTATAACTTCTCTCAAGCAAACATTTATGCAATATTTTAATCAGGTGGAGTAATCATTTTGAAAAGTACTTCCTACTCAGTTAAGAGTGAAAACACCACGGGCGCCAAACAGGGACAGTTGTATGGTAGGATTTAAATTTATAATCATATACTTCTGTACACATGTCATTTTCGACTTCAAATAATTTTGCTCCTTTTTTTCAATTCGCCCATTTACAGTTTTGTAAAAGAGAAAATGATGTCTTTCTTTTTGAAATTCGTATCCTTGAATCGCAGCACACAAAATATGCAAGCAAAAGTAGTGAAAACTAAGCGCATATTTTTAAAATTCGTGAAAAGTATTGTAAAAAGTATCTGAATTACTTCTAGGAGAATGCTGAGATTTGAAGTTTGGTTTTCTTAAAGATCAGAGTTCAATTTATTGTTTTGTTTTACTTTTAATTTCTGCATTTACTTAATAGTAAAATTACGAGTTTGAATTTGTACTGAAAAGGAAGGTTAATATGAATATGAATTATAGCAAAATGACCCGGAAAATAACTATAAATGCTAACTATAAATGCTTTTATTTAAAAATCATGTAATTTGCAGCAGTCGCATAGTTCTTCCAATACTTTCAGTCTCACCTTTTTTTTTTAGGTTATGCTGTGAGTGTCGGTAGGTTTTATAGTGACAAAATATCTTACGTTGCTATGGGTGGTCCAAGGGATGGTGGCTCTGGCAAGGTATACTTTTATTTAAATACTACTTTGTTTAAATTTTATTGTGAAAAAGGGTATCTTGAGGGCGAGGAGAGCTAAGAGATTTTAAAACTTAAGTAAAGATCTTTCAATGAATGAAATTATGATTTATGGTCGTGGTGTTATTCCTATATTTTGGAGATACATTCTTCCAACAATCTGTCGGAATTGCTATAGATACTCATTCCGCTTCGTCAATAGCAGAACTATTTTTTGTATTCGTATGAAGCAGAATTTATCTGAAAACTTCTACCGCAAAAGAAATATCTTGCTGTGGCCTTCAATTCAACGTTTAGATATGAACCGATTTTATCAGTTTATCAATGAACAATATTCATTTTCATTCCTACGTTGTTTTGATATCATTTTCATTCCTACGTTGATTCCTTATCTGGCTTTGAACACAAAATAAAAGAAACTACAGAGTATAACACATCTGGTTTCATATTTAGATAGTTTACTGGAAAACGACGTTAATGGTAACGCAACAACAAATCTTTCTGATAAACGTGATGACCAACCTTTATATCGTCAACTTCCCTTATTTTTGTAGCAAGATTATGCACTACGTACGAATAATTTCTAAACAAGACAAACTATTGACAAATAAGTTGCTTAAGCAAGAATATCAACAGTCTCAATTAGAGTCTACATTTAGCCTTCTATGAACATTGATTATGACCTTGTCAGCAATTACAATTTATCATTAAATCGACCGTTGACTGAGTTTTTCATACAAATTTTTAGGTCATTATTTTCAAACTAAATTCTCAATGAATTTTTCCGCTTGCCAGATCATGACAGGGAGCACACGGGGGTGGGTGGGAGTGTGACCGTTTAAAAGGGGATGCTTACTCCTCCATGGCACCCGATCCCACCTCTGATGTTTTAGCTTTGCTCCAATTTTTTTTATTGTTTCAATTGACTTTTGAACATTATTAATACTGTTTGTTATCTTCATGTTTCCTTTTAAAATTGTTGTGTCTTTGTTTGTCATATAAGTTACACAAAATATTATAAAAAGGGAGAAAATTTGGATGCTTTCTTTCAGGTACTTATAATGGATTCAAATTACAACACCAAAGAAAGGTTAATTGGACTGGAGGTACAGTTACAGTTAAGCAGCTGACTCTATGCATAGGAAATCTGCTATATACTACAAATATTATTTAAATGATACTTTTATATTTATAAAATGTAATTAAAAAGGAATATGTAGAAATAAATAAATAAAAACGCAGAATCCTTCCTTTTAAAATTTTATTGATGTAGATGTTTAGTTTTCTTCCACATTTTAATTTGTTGAATGCATTTGTAATTGGGGAATTGAACGGTTTTTGCAGCCTGGGAGCTATTTTGGATCTGTTTTATGTGTTATTCCTGGGAAGGGCGATGCTACTGACTATCTACTTGTTGGAGCCCCAATGTACAGTGATATACAGACGTATTCTAATAACTACCAGACTACAGAGGAGATGGGGAGAGTGTATGTGTACGTTAAAAGTCAGACAAATGTAAGTGTACAGTCACCAAAATAAATTTAAAACAAAATGTTCTCCATTTTATTTTTCTTGAGTTCTTTTTAAAATATTACTTCATTTGAAAAAAGAATTTTGAACTATTCAACAAGGATACTTTCTAGCGCATAATTATGTTTCTTGTGCTAATTTGAGTTTTTGTCTATGATTTGTTCTGGGGTGCATTATATAACTTGAATCTTTTGGCTCCAATATATGTGGAATTTTGCATTCTTTTCTGTTTATTTAAGTTTTAGCTGCACATACAACAGTGTGCATTAATATTTCACTTACATATGTTTTTGAATTTAAGGAAAGTTTACAGGTAATGCAGATATTAGAAGGATCTAGAACTATAGGGTCCAGATTTGGTTTTGCCATGGCTAACCTGAACGATATAAATAACGATGGATTTAATGGTAAAACATTAGTTAAAATAAAGTCTTAGCAGCACTATTGATTAAAATATTTATGTATATTTTTCCCTTTTTGTGTCAAGAACTATTAAAAAAATTAAAACATTGATTTTTTAAATTTATTTTCTTATCACACAATTATGAAAAAGATGCATATATATAAGTCAATCAGTATATTGCTTTCTAATTTTTGATTTAATGTTTCATGAATAATATGTGAGAGCTTAAATTCATTTTAATATTTCTCTTTCAGAGAATTTAGTTGAATGCAATATTTGCAATAAAATATTTATGCAAGGATGAATTTCGTTAGATTAGACGAAGAAAAAAAAATCTAAAAAATGGCAGAAAAAGTCATATACACGTATTTACTGTAGATCACCAAATTTTCGCGGAACCTTTATTCGCTTGGTATTGATAAGCGAGACAAAATTTTCAATTTTGTCTCCTATTTTATATAATTTTATATAATATACGCTAGAGATGACTTTTTGCGAGCAGAAAGCCTCACGTTATTACGCGAAAATAAAGTTCTTGCGAATAAAAAAGTGATTAACAGTAATAAAGCTTATTTGTTTGTAATTAGAAAACTAGTTAACTATATTTGTACTTTATTATTATTATTATTATTATTATTATTATTTGATTTTTCCGCTACTTACAATTAAGTATCATTTTTTGAAAAAAATTAATCTAAAATACATGATGCTTATTAATCAGTTTAAGCCATAAATCATTCATTGGCTATATTCAAGAAGGGATTCTGCTTGCCAGGGAAGTAATAATAAGTGTATAAAAAATTTTAAAAACTGATAAAAGTTGTATAACCATTGAACGATGTTTGAGAATTTTCATTAAAAAAAAAAATTTAGATTATCAGAAACAGAAACTTATTTCGTATCAAAAGGGTTAGTTCATATATCTCAGCAAGTTCAAAGTCTGATCTGATTTTAGAAAGAATTGTTTTTAAGAATGTCTGATTTCTTTCCCTTACTTCACAATATGCTTGCATTTACTTTGCAAATAACTTCATTTTTTACCATTGTATCAATTTTGTCTGTAGATGTAGTTATTGGGGCCCCCTTTGAGAGTGATGGACAGGGAGCAGTGTACGTGTATATGGGGTACAAGAGGGGATTTTTTTTGACACAGACAATTACTGCTGCAAGTGTGGCCCCATCTGGTAAAACACTTTCATCCTTTGGCAGCTCATTCACTCAGCATCCGGCAGATTTTAATAATGATAAACTTTCAGGTATGGTATTGAAAAATGTCTCATGATCTAATGTATCATAGGTCATACGATTTATAAGGCTTGCTTCTGTAGCTATGTAATCACAGCTTACATGGCTAAAATTACAATGATTGCTAAGGATTTTTGCAAATATATAATATTAGAAAAAGTATCTTTATAACTATTTAAAATTATGGGCTTTATATTGATACTTTGATATACAGTTAAATTGTGAGAAAACTGCCATTTAAGTTCAATTTTATAATTATTGTCAAATTCTCTTCATTTATAAAACAGTAAGCTTTTATCACTTGGAAAAGGTGATGATATCTCCAAGTTGCTTTAATATACAAGAGCATATTCTGCTTACATACAATTTCCAAACTCGGACAGGCTACAAACAAATACAGTAAGATTACAAGGGTATAGATCATCTCGTTTAAAGTAGATTTAGTAATTCTATGATCATACAATGATCTTGATAATAATTACAACCTGTCGTTAGATCGAATGATGATTAACATATTTAATTGAAAACTCTAGGCTAATGTCATTATTTTTATTCTGAATTCTCTTCTCTTTACTCCAATAATGATCAAGTCAAACGGAACACGGCTGGTGTGGCTTGTCAACAGGGGGTGCGTACTTTTCAATTGCACTTCTAAAGGCCTGTATTTCCTTGTTCTCAATTTGTAAAGTTTAATGTGACTTTTAACAAAAATCAAACGGGATAATCAAGGTTTAGGCCAAATTCTAAGAGTGGGGCGGAGTGGACCGAAAACAAGTTTTTATAATTTTTCATATTGTAATAAAAATCGTTTTTTTGCAATAAATGTTGGAATTGTCATATGAAAGAGGGTTAAAAGCAAAAGCATAATTTTTCAATGCTTGTATGAACTTTGAATAATTTTTGTTCAATTTTTCCTTGGCTATCCCACAAAAAACTGTGTATGATGACTTGTATAAAGTACATTTGAAATGTGAATAAAGCGAACAGGAATTAAGCTTTTATGTCAAATTAAGTAAATCAGATTATGGGCAGATGTTGGATGGGGTGCCATAGAGGAAGTGAGCAATCCCCGCGGATCGGTCACATCCACCATGTGTGCCTTTTCATTATAAGTGTACAATAATGGTGACTGCATATTTCATGCTTTTTGAAATTCCCAAAATGAAGAAAATAATAAACATGTATGACGTAAAGTACGTTTATGCTGTTTTCTAATACATTTGATTTAATATGTGTATGATATTCCTTATTAATTTACACAAAAATAAAAAAAAAAGCAAACTAAATCTTGCGTTATTAAATTTAAAATATTTAAAAACTTCAACTTCAGTACGTTTGATTTCATTCACATCTTCCTTAACAAATGTTTGCTAGTGTTTATGTCTGTTTAGGTATTAAGTATGGAATTCATTCGTTTAATGTACATGTATGTTTCTTGTATAAAATGATAAAAATGTTTTGAAATTTAATTTAATAAAGCTCAAAACAGGGAACTTCAAACATACTTTCTTTAGCTCAAAACAGGAAAATTCAATATAAGTCTGTCAAGAAAATAACTTTGGTATATATAGAACTGAATATTGTTGAACAGTTAATTTCATTTATATAGCTTAAATTTTTTGCAGATCTCGCCATTGGTGCATCCTTTTCGGACATGGCTTTTGTTCTTTTTACAAATCCTCCAATTACAATGATAGTGGACATTAAGACCAACCTCACGACATCTTCAGAAGGGGGCGGTGCTAGAATCATTGCACAAAACACCACGGGTTTCACACTCAATGTCTGTTTTGATTATGAAGGAGAGAACATTCCATCAGACGTGTGTAAGTTGAGAAAAGTAGATACATGTAATCATGAAGATACATTATTCACCAAATTTCTTGTTAAACAAAATAAAAACTATAACCCCCCCCCCCCCACACACACACACACAAATAGACTTTATTGTAAAAGGTCAAGATACCGAACTTTGATCAATCGCATTTATTCAGGAAACAGAGCAAATTTTAAACAGGGCAAAAAAAAAATCGGCCCCTGGAAACTCCAGAGGCAAGATCAAATGCCTACAGGTGGTAAGCATCCCCTGTCGACTAATCAGACCGACTGTAAGACCTGTGTTTTAATCAGGTGAAAAGAGTACCCTCTTTTCAAATAAGTATAGAAACTGTAACCTAACAAATGGTATGAAACATGTCAACCAAGATACGACTCAACGATAGACTGTATTTGTATAATTACAACAAAGTCATAACAACAATTTTGATGAAATTTTGTCAAAAGCTGACTTTAAACGGAGTTATTAAAATCCTTGTAACATCAATTTATCTGTCAGTAGTTTTTCCCAGTTAAAAAACTGATCGTATTCTGAGTATGCTCTCGTGTATAGAATCAGTTGTAACACAAAAACTCTATTTGAAGGTGATTTTGGATTATTATTGCTTAATATCGTCGATATATCTTAATGTTTAGTTGAACGCTACAGCAAGCTGTCTTCTGATAAAAAAAGGTTTTGAATAAATTATTTTTCAAAGGAATATAAAAATAGATCAGCTATTAAAGGAGTACAATATGTCCCCATCGAAATTTCAACAGACTGTTGGAAGACCTTGTCTCCAAAAACCACAATATTGTCAAAGAGGAACGCCAGCTCCTTTTAATATGAACTTCATAGTACCTGCAGCTGTTTCTTTTACTAAGAATGATTTATAACGAAGTAATCTTGCTGATGACCTAACACACAATATGAATAAAAAAATTTAAGAAGAGTTTTATTTTTATTGAATTAAATTGTCATAAATGCCCTAAGTATACAGGCTGTGCAATTTGACATCAAGTCTAATGTTGACTAGCGTTTTAAACAGAAATTGCTAGGACATTTACTTCGGGCTGAATTCTCTACAGATTTTTTCGCTACTTCGAGTAAGTCCAGCAACACATTGTGGGTGTAGCAGATCCAAAGGGAATGCTCACTACACAATGGCAACTGATCTCAGTCCTTTTTTAGATGTTTGTGTTGGGTTGTTCACCTTCTGTATTGTTTAAATGGTCTTCCGAGCATTATCACTGTTCTCTTCTTATTTCACTATTTGATTTAGAATCTGAGTATATAATTGAACTTGTATGACATGGATATAAGGTAAACTTGCACTTCATCTTAACCGATCGATATGTATTTAGTTTAAAGAAGAGTTCAGATATTAATTAAACTTTATATGGTTCCATATTGTTAATTAGTGTTTTATTTAAGGGTCCTTATCTCTGCTACATTGTTTGACATGTTATTTCGTTCTAGTGGTGACGTATGAAATTACAGCTGATCCTGCTTTCCTCAAGAGCAGAATCTCCCAAGTAGAACGCATTTGCTTTAAACAGTCAGACACGAGTTGTGTTAACAAAGTTGCCAGAAACTTTAAAGTATTCAAAGCCCCATCAGAGCTGACCTGTACTACTTCTCCTCTAGAAGTAATGGTTAGGGATGACTGGGTAAGAATGTTTTTCTTGTATTCTTCATTATTCATGGTCATGGGATTAGCGTTTCTAATATTACCTGTTTATTTATAGAGAACAATTTTGTTGTTATACTTGTTAGGTAAATAAAATGTAAAAAAAAAAAAAGACAACTGAAAAGAAATGGTTTTTTTATCATAGAAGGATTGTATTTTATTACAATACCAGTTTCAAAGATAAGTATTATGTTACAAACTAGAAATATGTCCATAGGACATGAATGCCCCGCCTAGGGTGTATTAGTAATGCAACATTTTAACACAAATTGAGAAAAGTGAGGTCAAGGTCAAAGGAAAAGTCAAGGTGAAAAAATATTGATGCAGTTGAATAGCTTACATTAGTATGTATCAGCATATGAAGTTTGAAACAAAATTAAGAAAAGTGAGGTCAAGGTCAAATGAAAGGTCAAGGTCAAAAATTTTTGTGCAGTTGAAAAGGTTACATCAGTATGTATTAGCATATGAAGTTTGATAAAAACATTATGAATGGTTTTAAAACTGAGCTAAACACTAATTTAAGAAAAGTGAGGTCAAGGTCAAAGTCAAAAAATATTGATGCAGTTGAATAGCTCTCATCAGTATGTATCAGCATATAAAGTTTGACACTAATTTAAGAAAAGTGAGGTCAAGGTCAAAGGAAAGGTCAAGGTCAAAAATGTTGATGCAGTTGAATAGCAAGAAAAGTGAGGTCAAGGTCAAAGGAAAGGTCAAGGTAAAAAAATATTGATGCAGTTGAATAGCTCTCATCAGTATGTATCAGCATATGAAGTTTGTTAAAAATATCTTGAATGGTTTCATTAAAACTGAGCTAAACACTAATTTAAGAAAAGTGAGGTCAAGGTCAAAAGAAAGGTCAAGGTCAAAAAATGTTGACGCAGTTGAATAACTTACATCAGTATGTATCAACATATGAAGTTTGATTACACTATCTTGAATGGTATCTTTAAAACTGAGATAAACACTAATTTAAGAAAAGTGAGGTCAAGGTCAAAGGCAAGGCAAGGTAAAGGTCAAAAAATGTTGATGCAGTTGCATAGCTCTCATCAATATCTATCAGCATATGAAGTTTGATAAAAATATCTTGGATAGTTTCTTTGAAACTGAGCTTTGAATAGAGCTAAACGCAAAGTGGGACGGAAGGACAGACGGAAGTACAGAAGGACGGAAGGACGGAAGACGGACATGACAAACACTATATGCCCCGGCCATATTCATGGCGGGGCATAAAAATGGTATGTTATGTATATTATATCCTTTTAAAACAGAATACCTCCTTATATGAGACGAGAATTCCGTAATACTTTATTGTTATTTTACATAGACGAACATGAGAGGCTTGTTTGTTCCTGTGGACTTTGATGTGGAGTTCAATGTGTCCACTTCTGGTAATACAGAGTGTACCGTTAGCTGTCCCGTAGTCAACAAGTTTGATCCCACCAACGATGACCCATTTGCTAAGATTCGTAAATATTCGGTAAGGTATTTACTTCCTTCCTTAACTACTTTGAAATTTTCAAAAAGATGCATTTAGAACAAATGCTGGCATTCGTCTTTACTATGAAATATGGAGATAACGAACAGCAATTAAGCTGAAAAGTCCATTGAAATAATACAGATTTAGAGCACAGCAAGTACGGATCTCTTAAAACTTCAGCGGTGGAATCTGGTGACACGACGGAGCAAGCATCCCCTAATGATCGGTCGCAACGACGTGCGCTCCTTGTCTTGATCGGTCAAGCAGAAAATTCAATAAACAACACTGTGAAAATAATGGCCTAATAATTTGTACTAAAAATGTCAGTTATCATTCGACGTAATGATAGATTGTATTTGCTGACAAGGTCATTGTATCGACCATAGAATATATAAAATCATCTTAGGAATGAAAATTAATATTGTTCATCGATAAAACGTCGTCGATATTTCTTAACTTAACGAACAGTATTCAAACTCAAAGTAAACAAATCGGGAGCAGAGCAAACACAGACCTCCAAAAACATCAGAGGTGTGATCAGAGGTGCTATGGAGGAGTGAGCATTCCCTGGTGACCGGTCTGCCCGCCGTGTGCCCCTTGTCATGATCGGGAAAAACGGAAAAATCCTAAGACAATTCAGTGTGTAAAGTATGATCCAACAATTAGTATGAAAAACGTAAGTCAGTATTTGACTTAATGATAAGTTGTATTTGTTGACAAGGTCATTGTATCGACCATAAAACTTGCGAAATGATTACATAAAAACGAGACTGTTGATATCCTTGTTTCATCAACTTGTTTGTCAATAGCTTGTCTCATTTTAGAAATTGTTCATACGTAGAGCATGCTCTTGCGTATGGAATCAACTGGAGACAAAACCCCATATATAAGTGATAAGGGTATATTGCTACACAAGGAAGGAAAGTTGGCGATTTGAAAAATTAAAGTTCTCGCATTTATCATAAAGCTTTGTCGTTAGATTACCATTAAAGTCTTTTTCTAGTAAATATCCAAATTTGAAACAGATGTGTCAGACTCTGTGGTGTCTTTTATTTCAAGCTCACTGTGATATATCGAGTAGATGCGTGTTATGATAACTTCAATTAACACGATAAAGTCATAATTATGTCTACATTCGTTGCAATACATGGGTTTTTACAAATGTGGAGAATATCTGACTCTCTCTCCCAACATTGTAACTTCATAAAATCCCCATTTCAACAAAACTCTTGATGCTAGTCGCAAAGAATTGGGTGTCTTAAACCATTGCGACGGATATTGCTTTCTCCTTTCTACAAAAACGGGCTTGCCATTATGTAACAGTTGACGTTAGATAAGAAAGATCTAAATGTACCATTCAAACGAAAAATTAGAAAAATTTCACCATTTCAATGCGCATCATTATAAAGGAGCACAATTGATGGCCATCTAAATTCCAACAGTTTATTAGAAGAACTAGTCTCCAAAGACTACATTAATATTGTAAATGAGGAACTCCTGTCCAGCATCCCTTTTACATCAACAGCAGAGTACTCGTGTGTAGAATCAGAATAGATTTTAACAAAGTAATTTTGATGATGACCAATGACAAGATACATGTATGAAAAAGTTTCGTTTTTATTGAAGAAGCAGTTATCTATGATATCAAAAACCTAGGTTTAAATTCATCGTTGAGAATGGTTATATAAAGTGTAGAAAAGTCGTAAGTTTGGATGTTACTGACTTTTGAAAAATGTTGTGATTTAAATTTATCAAAACTTTTTTTGAAGTTTTTGAGAATCTACACCTGATTCACATTTCTAGAATATCCTGTTACATAGTACTCTGAAGTTCATCCTTTACAGCAGTTAATGTTTTGTAAGGAGTAAAGATAGGGATGTTGTAGAACATTTCCTGGATCCGGCGATGTTTCTTTTTGAGAAAAAATTATGAATCTTAGGAATCAAGTATAGGTATTGATGTCCTTAATGTCTTGAATGTTAAAAGTGTGAGAGATATTTAGAAGAAAATTCTTCAAATCTACACATCTGTTAAATTTAATATCTGGGAACTTTAGTCCTACATATTTTTACGCAGAGAAATTACTGTATGCTTGGAACATTAAATATAGGTTTCAGTTAATATTTTTAGAGCAAATTTTACACATTCACTCAACAGACTTTGCCAAGAAATGAATATATATTGAAGGAGTCAAGATAAAGTAGACACTGTTTTTTTTTGCCTGAAAATCACATATTTTGACCAATATATCAAAACTTACATCACTTGCCCCAACTTTTTCTTTCATTATTTGAAAGTACATGATATTTCCAACGGATCTCTACTAAAGTCATAAAAAGCTTGACATAAGAAAATATTTTTTTGCTTATTCAGATTTTTATCATCCCAAATATGAAATTTTTTTGTGCAAAAAGTTAACCCAATAATTTTTGCGCATTAATTTGCATGCTTTGTTCAATGAAAAATATATTCAAACTATTTTACGTATAATTATATTATATTTATTGTCATGATAACATCTGGTATGATAAAGGCTAGTGAATACCCTAGAGTTTCAATTAAAGTGCAAAAAGGTCAAGTTAATTGTACCATTGCTCAGTAAAATGCACACTGATCCCCAATTTTCTTTGCGACTTTGAGACATGCTATATGAGTACTTATCTAAAATATACTTATCAAAAAAATCATTGAAATATCTTATGTCACGAGTGACATACCTTGAATCATTATTTCTTTTAGGAAATCTATTTTGTATCAAAATATCTCATAATCATCCCATAACCTTTACTTTAATTGGAAATGTGCAAAAGGAAATGCTTACACAATTGTTTTCTTAAGTTCGGCCACAACCATCTTGTTATTTGATAGAGCTTAGGCTTAGTGTAAGCAAAAGCTGCCTGAATGTACCCAGGACACAATATTAATTTATGAATTTTAAACAGTTTTGAAAATTTAGGAAACTATTCCCACTGTCAAGAACAATATCTAACGGGCTTTTGTTAAAAGTAGTTGTCCACCATCATTGTTATTGTAATCATATAACCAGATTCTAAGGGGTGTACGATTCCATTATCTACAGACGATTACTGTTTTCTATCTTCGACTTTCATGCTAATACAACAATGCTGATTTACAATACAATCTATTATTTTCATTTTTTTTTTTTACATTCAAATTACTTATTTCAGCTTTTAAGTAATACAATCAGCATATGATCAGCAAGCAGTAGCAATCATTTTTAATCAGCGAGTAAAGAGTAAATTCCCTTTATGTTAAATACACCTTGGTATTTGTTATGACCAACTGTAGTAATTTATTTGCATATTGAATGCTCTTGATTATTTCTAAAGTTTAAGTTAGAAATTTCACATTCAAAATATTCTCCTTACTTTTTCAACCCTCAAATGGAGTATATTGTGGCATTTATATCCTAAATCTTTAAGGGGTGTTGAATGAAAGACAATGGTACAGTTTCAATATTGTCATCATAGCTTTATTATAAATGATTGTAGTATCAACTGGCGAGGGAAGGCTGTGGTTCTGACAACATCTGTGCCTCTGATGTCCAGCTACTGGTCACTTCACCAGACACACTGGTTACAGGACCTAAATCAGAATATGTTGTAGACGTGTCTGTCAGCAATCATGGAGATTCATCTTATAATACAGAAATCTTCTTTACTTTCCATCAAAATATGACATTATCCTTCATAGATGATGAAAGACTAATTTGTTCATCGACTGCTGGTTCTTTGAAGTGTTCATTTCACAAACAGCGGTTTAACAAAGGTGAACAGTTTCAATTCAAAGTCCGTTTTGACAGTAGCAAGTTACTGCCTGTTATCGACACTTTTAATCTGAAGGTAGAGGTTAAATCTGACAGTAATGATATCAGCATGCAGGACAATACATTTAATAAAACGGTCAGATTATTGACGAAAGTGGTAGCTATTTACAATGTGTAAGTATGAAATCATTTGCTTTATTTAATAATATGTACTAAATTACAATTTGTAAAAGAACGTTTAGGCATAACATTCTATATACAATTAAGTATAGATTAGGAAAATACTAGCAAAATATAATAGAGTCTGAACAGAAGAAAGTTAAAGAAACTCTAGGATACGTTCCTGTATTTTCGGGTCTTTTAAACTAAAGATGTGGTAGTTCTTAAAATTGAAGAGTCAAAATTCATTAAGTTTTTATATTTTTTAATATGTTATAGTTTAAAAAAATCAAATAGAAAATGTCTGGAATGCTCATTCTAGATTTGAGTTTCGAAATACTATATTTGAAACGTAATTCAAATGCTGAATCTCGAATGAGCCATCTGAGCTTTCGTAGTTTCCTTTCGAGTAAATAAATAAAAATACTTGCTAAACATTGCTTGAATAATTTAGCATAAGCTGCTCAGTGGACATGCAACAGATTAGAAATTATATAATTTGTGCATGTACATATTGGATTAACCTGAATTGTTTAGGGCTGCAAATCCAGATACTTATATAACAAAAACAGACCCAAAGAATCCCATCATAGAAGTAAACCACAGCGTTCAGATAGTGAACACTGGACCCAGTGACCTTTTGGACACGCTGACCTTCATCCTGGAGTACCCACAGTCAAGCCAAGTTAAACCAACGAGAATTGTGAGTTTTTTGACATATTTAAAACAAGTACATTAAAATGATAGGGTGCTATAAATGTCCATCTATATTTGTATATTTATATATGTATATAGCCTTGTGAATGACAAAATGTCTAATATTTATTTTCGCATATAACATACTGAAAACATTTACGTCTCATGTCATAATGAAACAACAATTATTTTGTAATGATCCACGGCAGTGGATCAAATTGATAAGATTTCATTTTTTTAAAAATCAAAACATATGTTCTTGACTGTTTTAAATTAAGATGAGCATTTTATTTCGCTTTAGATAGTTATTTTCTGTCTATATCAATTATATTGCTCATTTTTAATGACGTCTAGATAATATGCTTGTTAACCTTAATGATCGACAAATGTGTATATATACAGGTCTCTTTGCCTTTTTCATCCGCAAACACACGAGTTTACATATTTACTATTATGGTGGAAGACATTTACAATAGCTTTGAAGTAACATGTTGAACGTTCAAGGTCAAAGGTCTCGAGTATACAAGGTCAAAAATCTCGGCCATTCGTTTTATTATTTCTTATCATGTTATGCATTAATTCGGATCCCTTCCAACTAATGACTCCATAACTTATTTTTTGTGGCTGGCTGAAAAAGGCAGTGTTAGAATTTACAGTCTCATATTTAACAGTGAAACCTTATTGTCAAGTGTACGAGGGTCGTTCAATAAATAATGCAGTAGGTCAACTGAAAGTAAGAAAAGTACGTAATACATATTTTAAACATTTTCCATCACTTAAAGCATTCCCTGTTATTCATTATACATGTCTTTATTCTTTGTATCCATGACCAAAATATCTCAGCATACCCATCTTAAGGGATGCCTCAAAGACACTGATGATTAACACTTTCTATGGCATATCTAATATTTTACAATCTTCCTTTGACTGTTTTCATGCATTTATGGAATAAAAAGATCTCACAATGGCTGAGATCTAGCGAATATGGGGGATGGTAAAGCTCTGTAATCTTTCTTTCCTTCAAAATTTCATTTATTTCTCTTTGCTTCTTTGCAGCAGCGTTGCCAGGTGCATGAAAATTACCCTGGGGCGGTATTTAGACTTCCTTTGTAGGAAATCTGTTTAGCTTTCCCCAGTGCAATTTGAACATAAAAGTTACCGTTGATGGTCCTTCCTTTGGGTGTATGTTCTTGTTTTACTGGACCTCTTAAAAAATGGAAACTAATAAAATATGCTTGGAGCCTTTGTTTCTCTTTACAATAATAAGAACAACAGCTTTTTCTTTGTTTCCACATTTTATTATTGATCTTACATTTTGGCTATAAAAAGTGCACCCATGTTTCGTAATCCATCATGCAAATTTAACAAATTTTCTATTTTGTTAAAATATTCGTTTTAAATAGACTGTTGGCACATTTTCTTTTGTGCGATTTTAAGAAAATAAGGCACCTGTCTAATAGAAATATTATCATATTCATTTCCGATGTCAGAATTCTATAAAATGTTATGACGATAAAATGCTTAGTGTTCTAGCAATGTCTTCGGCTGTAAATCTGACATTTTCAGATATCATGTTGCACATACCATCGATAACTTTTGGTGTCCCTACAAATTTCAATCGACCAGCTTGACATTTATACTTTAACTCTCCTTTTTCTACTTTTGAATTTCTGAATCAATCTGAAAACTATACAGCGTTAAAGACAATTCTTTCCACATATTAAAACCACATCTTTAATATGAGTTCTTCGGAGATTTATGTAAAGATGCACATTTATTACATACCCTCTCATTATCATCTTCTTGGCATAGATCATTTTAAACAGTTTTCAGCTCAGGGTAGTGACCATGCATACTTTAAAAGTGAATTTCTTTGCGAGGACAATAGGAAAAATCATGGAGTTTTCTTTGATTATGAGCTCTTTCATTGAACATTTCGACTCTGAAAAAAGTAAAAATAAATAGATCTACATTTACTGTGATATACTGCTTGTTGCATTATTTATTAAACCACCCTCGTATATGAAAATAAATAATCAATTATATAGATTTTGCCCTAATCTTGGCTTGACTAGTCGATAAATATAGTTGAGTATCATTTAAACAAAACGAAAATCAAAAGAGCCAGGGCTTTTGATATGGCTAAAGCACATTTAGAGGATGAAAAACTCAGGCATTCTTCAGTTAAAAACAAGTCAACTGCATAGATTATTCATGATTGGAGAAGGTGACTGTATGTCGTTTAACGTCCCATTCGAAAATTTTTAACTCATATAGAGACGTTACCATATACAGATTGAGGGCTTCAAATTTAGACCTATACTCGGTACTCACGGCCATTGAGCAGTGAGGATTCTTTATGGTGCAAACGCCTATTGTTACTTGGGGCCTCGTTTCTTAGCTCTCATCCGAAAGATCGTGACTTTCACTACTTCTAGTTCCGGGCGCTTGGTGAAGAAACAGTCACTTTACTGAACTGACGTTTAAATGGAAATTCTTTTCAATTCCTGTGACTTTGAAATTTATTTTAAACTTATCGGATATAAAGTAGTCGAGTTTTTTAGATTACATGGCAAATAGCGATTGGATTTGTTATGTTGATGCATTATATGTATTCATTGCTTTCTATCTGTAGCATTTGAATGTTTCCTCTGCGACTAACTACACTCTGATACAGTGCCGGGATCAAGTTTTAGTACCAGAGGGTGAGACAACTCTAACCTACAGAGCGTTTATCATTTTTGTGGATGAAACAGGAAACTCTAATTCGGCCAACAATTTTGTGAGCACTTAATTCTTAAACCTGTTCATTTAATTTTATGACTAAAAAAATGCATCCCCCCCCCCTGAAAATCAACCTACAGAAATTTCTTAAACCCTGCATCCATTTTAAAAAATTACTTAAGGTCTTGTAAATTTGACGACTGTGCACTAAAAAAAGATGATTTTTAAATTAACAAAGGAATTATAATTCAATTCAACCAGAACTTAATAATGTTTTTATCGAAGATTCGGAAGAATATAGTTTTCGTCCGTCCGTCTGTCTGTCTCTTAATCTGTTAGTTTTTCCTCAAAAACTTTAACCTGCCCATAACGTTTGAATAGTTGGTGCTTGGGCTTTAATATGTCACATGAATATTTCTTGTGACAAGATCCTTTTTAGGTGCCATCATATATGACGTTTTGGCCTTGATTTTGTAGTTTCCTTTTTTTGCACCATGCAATTGACCAAGCGTTAACCTTGCCCAAAACTTTGAAACTGCTTGACCGTAGTCTATGTTCATTGTCAGGTCCTTTCTTAGGGTCCAATATTTTTTTACCTTTCAACATTGACCTACTTTTGAAAACTTTAGCCTAAGTCATGACGTTTGTACGGTGGGTGCCAGAGCTTTCATGTGTATTCCGTGTGACAAGATTTCTTTCTGGGTACAAACATTTTTGACATCATGACTTTGACCTTGGATTTTGGCCTACATTTGAAAAAAATAAACCTTGCCTATTACTGTTGACCGGTTGTTGCTTGTGCTTTCAAATTTCACTTATGTTTTCCTTGTAACAGGACCTTTCGGTTTGTACCATTATTTTTGTTCTCATGACATTGACTAAAGAGTATGGCCTTTTTGATTAATTTGAACATTGTCCACATATTCTGAATGGTAGATACTTGCAGTTGGGCTATCATATTTCACATGTGAATTCCTTGCGAAAAGATCTTTCTTTGGATATCAACATTTTTGAACTCTGCTCTTGGAGTTTGACCTTCATTTGAAAACTTTGACCTTGCCTTTGAGCTGCTTTACGGGGGCATCAGTGTTTCACAAACAAATCTTGTTTACTATGTTTTCAGGATTGTGGTAAAGCTGGAGCGTGTAACAGATTGACATGCGATGTAGGAGCTTTTATGTCTGACAGTTTCATATTACTTAGTATTAATTATGACGTGGAACAAAACCTGTATAATACAATTAATGTAAGTTTTTCCTAACAATTTCCCTACTTGTGTAATACAAAATATCGCATATATATATATATATATATATATATATATATATATATATATATATATATATATATATATATATATATACAGTACCCGCATCGTTATTCTTTACAATTCTATCGTGTCCTATCGTGCGTTTATCCTATCGTATCGTGCGTGTATCCTGTCGTATCGTGCGTGTATCCTATCGTATCCTATCGTATCGTGTTTTCCGTTTATCAGGTTTTGCGTTTTCTATCGTGTTTTCCGTTTATCAGGTTTTGCGTTTATCGTGAAGATCGTTTATCAGGTTCAATCGTGTATCGTGTTTTGCGTTTATCGTGTGCATTCGGAAACCCTCGCTTTTTATCTTTACCTTGAAAAGAAACACCCGAGATATCTCGAGTTCATCTTTCGTTTTGTTAATTTAATTAGGATTAATCTAACTGTTGAACAAAAAGAGAAATTAATACTCTAACTCTGGTATATTTTTTAAAGAAAGAAAATAAATAAATAAATAAATAAATAAATAAATAAATAAATGAACGTCAAGTACCGTCACCAAGCAGAGAGCATAAATCGAAAGTCAAATTCTATTTTTGTACATGAAATAATCGATCTACTATTTGAGTCATTCGTTATTTTTTTTTTTTTTAATTTGTCGATATGTTAGAAATATTTTTGTCAAAGATAGAAATATTATAATCCCTTTACACAGTCAGAGTCACAAAAGCGAGACCTTTATTAACTTTGTTTTGATAATTATAGAAACATTAAACATTAAGTATTTGTGCAAACAATAAATTATGAATAAAAAAAATATCAGTTTCTTTATTAAGGCTATCCTTTTTATCTATAACGGAAGCATAAATTTTGTCTATGCGCGCAAGTTTTGTTGTTCCTTTGTATTATTATTTTTTTTCTGATAAGTATAATATAGATGTTTGCCATTCATATTTGACTACTGCATTTAGAAGATGTAAACAATAAATAAATAAATAAACAAAACCACACAAATTTTTATTATTCATCTTACCTACTTCGGCGCGGAGATGAAGTAATATATACCATAACTTAGTGACAGGTGGAAGCGCTCCCGTGACAAGAGAACTGACACCTACCTGCCTAATCAGTACACTGTCTTCTTGTCAAGTCAAGATCCCCCCCCCCGCGCTTTTCCCTACATGACCTGCCCGTGTGTATTCAACATAGACATACCTGAACTCTAGCTCTCACCTGGTGTCAAGTATTTACCTTGAACCCTAACTGGTTTCAATGAAATACATCTACTTATTTTCTGGATATTGTTCATAATTTTTATGAACAACACTTAATTAACAATTAAAGATTTTATACTAAGAAAATTGGTAAATGTACACTTCCGTTACAGATTAAAAATTGAATAATTGAATAAAATGAAATATATACGAGGTTTGTCCTCCAAACTCCGTTGATTTAGTTCATTTGTATATTTTTATGTAATTTTTATAGGTTTACAGTCATAAACATGATTGGTGTGATCAAATAAAAAAAATGCGCTTGCGGTACTTCTGCATCTTAGGGTTTTCTTTGCTGTCTGTCGTTCTTACATGTAAAGGCGTCTCAAAGATGCATGAAAAAAAAATCGCCCGGTTCTGCGGTGATACACAAGACTGGTAAATACCTTGTATTTAATTTTATTCGTGTTTATCGATTGCATATAATACGTGAGTATATCAAAGAAGTCAATATATATTTTTTTAATTTAATTTTATTTTTTTAGGTTTTTTTTTTTTTTTTTTGGTTTTTTGAGTTGGATTTTTTTTTGGGGGGGGGGGGGGTATGGACCCCCCTTCCCCGCTGACACTGTGCCTCAAATGGGGTTAAGACTTTCATAATTTACAAAGTTTTAATTGTCTAATTTTGCCGATGTCGTCCTATATAAGATAGGTTTTGTAACAATTATTACAAAGTCTTCTAGCTTAATCTTACAGGCCTATAAAAATACCAAAATAAATACAAAAGAATGGAAATGCGATATTTTTTTCGGATAATAGATGATGAAAGATCTAGTGACGTTTATTAATTTTATCAAATTCGATTTTTTTCGCAGGTCCCCTTCCTCATATATACATATACAATGTATGTACTTGGAATGTACTTGGAATACGTAAATAATTTCTATGTGCACGGGATATGTGTGACATATATAGGAGAGATTAATTATTCAAAGTCCAGTGCACGGTCTGTCTCAATGCAACTAGCAATTTCAGCAATTTTAAAACGTAAAAAAATTAATTAATTTATATAAAATATAAATCAAATTCGTAAAAACTTGGAGGAGAAAGCATTAACCTTAAAATACTTATAACAATAATTTTACAACCCCCCCCCCCTAAATTATGACTAGTATTTTGTGTGTGTAAGATTTGAATTATTAAATACAAACTATTAAAGGCGATTTTGGATACTTTGCAGACTTCTAGCAAAAGATATTGAATCCAAATATTTCATTTTTTTTTTTACATGTTTTTCCGTAAAAATAATCAATGTTTGTTATGATTTTCATAAGGTTTTATTTGTTAAAATAATGAATATATTTATAGCGTTTCGTGAATTTATTGCACTTGGGTTTAAAACTTCGCTTGTCTACGGACTCAAAATTCAAATTTAACGATTCGAAGGAATTTCGACATTTGTATAATTACACAAAAAATCGCCTAATTTCCATCATAGAGTGGTATTAATCTTAAAAATAATTACAGTTTGAATTTGATGACGATCAATTTTATTGACAAAAAACACCATATCTTTTACAAAGCATAATTACTTCAAATGTTTTATCATGATTAATTTAAAATGTTTTATCATTTCGATTTGCGGCTTTGTAAGTAATTAAAATTATCATACTATAGTATATCAAAAAGAAAACTTTTCGTCTTGTCAAAAAACTTTTCGCATTTTGAAACAATCCTATCAGGTTTTGCGTTTATCCTATCGTGAAGATCGTTTATCAGGTCTATCGTGTTTTGCGCTTATCGTATTTTGCGTTTATCGTGTTTTGCGTTTATTGTGATTTGCGTTTATCGTGTTTTGCATTTATCCTGTCCTATCGTGCGTGTATCCTATCGTATCGTGCGTTTATCCTATCGTATCGTGCGTGTATCCTATCGTATCGTGTATCCTGTAAAGAATAACGATGCGAGTACTGTATATATATACCTCTAAGTATTACTACCTGGTTTAGTTGTTTTGAAAATTTGAATATAGGGGATGTTCAATATCAGTAGCATTGCTATTTTGCTTATCTTTTTTTAAATTTTTAATTTTTTCCTATTTCCTATAGCGCGTTAATAAAAATTGTTCATTTTTCCCTATTTAATTTTCTATAACGCGTTTGTAAAGATTGCATATATAAATTTATATCTTTTTTTATATATTATATATATTTTTATATAAATATAAATCTATATAAATATAGAAACTATTTGCAATACATTTTACAGTCAAACAGACATTATTATATTTAGTAGGTGAAAGATGTGGAGGCAATGCTTTCGTTTTGATTTTAAGGACTTTTAGTTGTTACTTTTGCTGATACATGTATATGTCATTCGCTGTGGAATTCTTTGCAAGATTTGTTTTTCTTTCTTACTTCGGCACTCAATGATCATATGAGCCACTGCATTGAATACTCTAAAATATAATGAAGTTATTAATTTTGCTGATGCAAAAAAATAATAATAATAATTATATATTTTTTTTGTTTCAATTTTGAGTTATTTTTACTAATAATTGCGTGTCGGGCTGGCTTTAAGTTTGAAATAAAATGTACACTTAAGGATTGAAGGATAATGAGAGACGGGATTAGGATTGCCTTGTCCTAGGGTGCAAAAATGGTCAATACATGTGGGTGTTAAATTGATCTATCGAAAACTAGTTCTTATAGATTTATATAAAGTTATGGATAACGCTCATTTAAATAATTTAACACTTTAATATTTTTCCCGACTAATAGCAATGACTCATGAGTAAATTAAGAGTGTCATTTACTTTTGTATTAATAGAAAAGAGCATTGTAATACAGTAAAACTCGTTTAGTTCGAACATAGATATAACGAATTCACGGATACAACGAAATATTTTGGAATCCCTGTTATATTTTTAAAAATTCTTCGTAAAATTTTAAAAAAAAATTTTTATAAAACGACCTCAAATGTAGTGAATATACGTATATAGCGAACTGTTTTTATGTCCCCCTGAGGTTAAGAATAACAAAATTTTCAACTTTAAAAACAAATTTTTAAAGGTTCAACCTAAAAATATGAATCTAACATTTTTTAAAGCATTTTTATTTGAAATGCAATTAATTTTAAAACTACTGAAATACAAGGTACATGTAACTATTGTATTTCGTACTTCCCAAAATACATTTGGTAGTCCAACTGAAAGGAAAAAAGATATCTATATATTGCGAATTTGCTATGTAAGGAATTACGGATATAACAAAGTAAATTTGCAAGTCCCCAGTACTTCGTTTTAACCGAGTTTTACTGTAGTATATGATTTTAATTATGTACATAAATATACTCTACCTTCTGAGAAATTTTATGACTACGTTTTGCATTCCTCAATTAAATGAAATATCTTAAATACTGTGTGCGTGGAATTTTACGAGTTTACCTTAAAAGTTAGAATATATTTTTTAGCGAGAAGTAGTTTAAGCAAATTTATAATGTGAACAAAGGAAGCTATTACAACAAGTACACAGTCAATTAATTGTTAGCGATATTCAATTTTAATGACCTCAACCCACTCGCTAATAATGTAAAAAAAAAAAAAAAAAAAAAAAAAAAAAAAAATCCTCGCTAAAAGTTCTGCTTATACGATCAACTTTTGTCGTTAAATTTGCTAATTTAAAAACATTTGATAGGGTTACAATTTCATTAAGGTAAACTTCTAACAATCACAAAAGTACAATATCAACGAGAGAGAGAGAGAGAGAGAGAGAGAGAGAGAGAGAGAGAGAGAGAGAGAGAGATTGCTCTATTATTTTCGGAAAGAAAGAAAATGTAATTCTTTATTATTTTAATTTTCAGAGTCAGACCAGTGGTGATATAACAGAGGTTCCAATTGTAACCAAATTTACGCCAGAAACAAGGAACCCATCAGTCAGTTTAGAAATTAAAGGGAACAGAGGGGTACGTAAGAAACAATAGAAGGAGAAAAGTGTTTTGTTTTATGTGATATTTGCACCCGGCTTTCTCCTATAGTATTTATTAGAAATTGATTTAAAATAAATGAAACCGATCTAGTTTTATTGATTATGGTAGTGTTCAGTTGTCATACAATAGTGTGTATTGATGAAATAAATTATCACACTTTCCGAAATTCATAAATGCGTATAAAAAAATACATTATTTCAGAGTCAATACAATCCTAGTTTAAATCTGGTTTATATTTTAGAACTACTCACATTTTCTTCTTTTCTTCATCTTAACCTTTTTAATTGGATGAACTCGCAACAATGGTTTGATTTTATCACCAGTGGTTTAAATACTTACTAAAAAAGAAGATAAAAGATAGAGTGTTTTTTTTTTTTAGTTTTATATTTCGTGCCTGACTTGTTTACCTACATATAAAGGTTGATATATCCAAATTGAATTTAAATTTCTTCATTTTTACTGGATTCCTAAAATTCATGAAAATCGTTATCCACATAGCGGATTCAATCAGATTTTTACAAAGCCTATCCCTTTACTCCCCATAAAAATATTAACAGCAGTAAAAAAGAAATTTCAGAACATATTCAAAAAATTCTATTAAACAGATGTGGACACTTAAAAATTTCAAGAAACTTTTAGAAAATAATGTAAGAAAGCCCGGGCCTTACTTAATTGGAAAACGGTTGGATGAAGGGTTGTAAGTTATGCTGCCATTGATAGTTTGATTGATATGAACCAATACTTGATGTTTTCAATTAAAGCCACCATCAAAACTTAATTTGTCATTTTTCAACTTGTTGCTTTGTAGTCAGTAAACACTGCCTCGGACCTTTCTGTCTTTGTAAGGACAGGAGTACTGCCCAGTAAAAAGGAGCCGATTTTACCTACTTGGGCGATTGTCTTAATTGCCATCGGATGTTCTCTGCTCATTCTTGGGCTGATCTATATCATTCTATGGAAGGTACAGCTTTCAAGTCTGAAATATATATAGGAAATTGAAGTGTTAATCATTATTCATTAGTGTCGTTGAAATTATGTCCATTTACCAAAATAGTTTTCATTTATTAACAATGCTGAAAATAACTAAACATGATGCTGTTATATGCTTAACTGATGAAGGCTTAAAACCTATAAAAACATGTGTAATCTTTATACTCTAGAGTTTTTGAAATGATTGTTGTTTTAGACTGGGTTCTTTGTTAGAAAATACAAAGAGGAAATGAAAGCTCGTAAGACGAACCCCGGGGAGCATGTGTTTGATAACCTGGCGAACGAATGCGCAAATGAGAAGGACCAAGCCGTTGAAAATCCTATGGATACTAACATTACAACTAACGAAGAAACTCCAACTGAAAGGAGATACAAAGCAGCAGATCAGCCTCAAACATCAAATCGGAGTGACTTAGTCATTAGTGGATTAAAACAATTAGAGGCAGAATTTGACGAACTTGAGTCACATCTGTATGACAATTCTGATTCACAAATGGAATCTTCAGACTACGTTCGTTTACACGAAGAAAGAAATCCACACGGTTACTCCAAACTTGATAATGGAGGTGCTAGGACTGAGTTTTCTGATTGTGCTCAGATAAACCATGTTAGTGAAAACCCAACCGATCGTGATCTTTTAGACGATTCGTCACCACTGGAGATCACCAGTCTTTGAAAAACCAAAGAAACAAATGGTGAAATATATTTTAGCAATTTAGTGCTTCATCAGCTATGTAATAATCACTATAAAAAATTTTTTGGCAAGCAGTGCATTTATAACAAATGCTTATTGAATAAGTTTTTAAGTATGCTTCACAAATGGATTAAATGTCTTCCGAACAAATTTCTATTAACCAATTTAGTTTGTTTTATTTTGTTTAAAATATTTATTTTGGATTATTACACATTTATACATCTACAGAATGACGGCAATTTTTCACTGACATTGAGGCATTTAAATCTCGGAACACGAGTTCAGTACGTGGAATTTTCATTGCTAAGATCTAACTATTAATGAAACTGATAAATGAATATAAATTGTTTCCTTTAGAGATGTAATACTAATAACCCCACAATTTTAATGTATATCGTTGTACAAAATTTTCATTGCTACTCCCACCCTTCTTCAAAGAAGCAAGAGTCTGATATTCAGGGAACAAGTCTATTGATATTAAAACTTTAACTCACCCCCCTAAATAAAGACACCATCTTTTTTAAATAGCATTAACTCTCAAACCGAGTAAAAGAATTTCTGTATGAAGCATTTATGCACTGTTCAAGTATATTCATAAACATTTTAACACAAAAAATAGTTTTAGGATATATATATATATATATATATATATATATATATATATATATATATATATATATATATATATATATATATATATATATATATATATAATTTTTATAAGTTTTAATGAGTTTTATCATTAGTTCCTTTGATATCACGTGTCAAAGTACAGAGGTATATATAGACCGAATCCTCCAAAAATAAAAATAACATATAATAGGATACACATGTACTTTCTAATAAAAGATTAGAGACCTTCTGTTAGTGTAAAAATGAACGTGATTTGCAGGTGTACAATGTATGTCATTTAAACAAATCAAAATTCTTTTCCAGTTATTGTATATTCAGTGAATACTCGGATTAACGGATACTTTCTAAAAATGGATTTCCTTCCTTACATTTGAACAGTCTTCCTTTAAACAATATTGTAACGAATGTATGCGTTGTATAAAAAGATACCAAATGTAGTCTTTTCATTAGGTCAATCCATATATAGAAATATCAACTTCAAACAAAAGTATATCAACCTCGCTCTTCGTGCCCGTCGATATGTCTCTCTGTGAAGTCGATATATCTCTGAATCAACCTCATGTAAGGGCTATATATGTATAATTGAGACTTTATAAATTGTGAATAAAGCAGGGGCATAATGTAAAATATTTTTGTCAACGTAATGTTACAATGTCACAATGATGCTAGGTATTCAATCAATTTTAATTACAAACATTCCTCCCCCAGAACTCCTCCACACACACATACACACCCAAAGGAATGATAGTCTGATATTCATAGGACCAACCATTAATATTGAAAATTTAATTCTATTCAAAATGAAAAATTGGATTCATCATATCTTCAGTAACAATCACATACATTCGGAACTGTTCGATACGGGTGGTATCACGATATCCCATATCAACGACCAGTCCAAAAACCCACACCAGACCGACGTGCAGAAATGCATATCAAACCGGAATATGTTTAAAAATTAATTAACTTCATATTTGAAAAAATGAACAGGAATAACAATTCATGTATAAAACATCTAGCTGTTGACTTTATATCAAGTTTTAAAATGACCTACAGATTTCTGTATTTAATTTAAAAGAAAGAAGTACATGTATATACATGCACCAAACTTTCTTAAATGACCTTGAAATGCAAAAGCAATTTATACGAACTCAAATATAAAGTTTTTAAATATATGATAAATAGAATAATAGATACTAAAATCCATTTCATATGTCAAATCAGTCCTTGGATCCTATATCTGCCCTCCGATTTTTGACCTCGGGCTCCCATGGGGCCACTGATACATGTATCTTATTGGTTTTAGTATTAATATTTTAGTATGTAATATTCTTTATTTATTGATTTTATGGGTTTACTAAAATATTCTTTATAGTGTCCCGAATCACAATTTTTTTTTTCTGTAAGCAGATGTTTATTTATTTTGATACTGGGTAGAAGTTTTTGTACTCAATGACATTCAATAAAAACACCTTTTATATTTATGATATATATATTTTTTTTCAAGTTTTATATTATGATTTGCTTATTAAACAGTAATAATATCCATTACTAAGTATATATTATAAACATTTATAATTTAGTAATATTTCATGTACTTCGTTACATATTTTTTGTCTATTTTGTTATTCTATTAATAATATGTATATATGAATTTCATACAATGAGATATATATATGTATGCAAACTTTGTAGCTTAAAAAGGTAGCTTTTAATATTCGTATTTGTTATTTAATCGTTTACATGATTTATAGTAAAATTGTAGCCATATGTTATGTAAGGTTATGGAATTAAAAAAAAGAACTTTGTGAGATGATTTTCTCTCTAGATACATTTTGACTTCGTACTAGATACATTTGGACTTCCAAAAGCGTACTTTTTTGGCAAGTTTTTTATTTATTATTTTTAATCTTGTTCAACATATAGTTCTAAATATTTATAGCGCATCATCTACACTAAAATATAAACAGTAGTGAAGGAGAAACTTCAGAAGTACTGTGCAACAACATACTCGAGAAGTGGTGTTAACCAGCTGCGGATACTTTTAAAAGTTCAAGAAACTTTTGGAAAATTTGACATCAAAAATTTTACCAAAATCAACAACATAAAAACGATTTTCAACATTATATACAACCATTCCCCACGATAAATTAAAGTCTAGGCTTTTTGAAATCATTGACAGCTGCTTTTTCAATAAAAATGGAACTCGTAAATTTACTTACACTGTACCTGTCCTTGGTCATTTGCAAAATTATTTTGTTAAAAAACATTCTAAATGTACACCCAGGTACTCTGAAGTTGAAACTAAAAAGATGCTTGAGTTTCTGATTGACAATTTCTATGTGGTTTTTGGAGACCAGATCTTCCAAAAATCTATTGGAATTCCCATGGGTACCAATTGCTCCCCGTTATTAGCAGACCTATTTTTGTATTCACATGAAGCAGAATTTGTTACAAATCTTATATGTGAAAAGAAGAAAACACTTGCTGTGGCCATCAACTCGAAATTTAGATATATCGACGATGTATTGTCAATTAACCATGGTTTTTCCATTCTTTGTCGATACGTTATATCCCGGTGAGCTTGAAATAAAAGATAACACAGAGTCTGACACATCTGTTTCATATTTGGATATTTTACTAGGAAAAAAACTTAATGGTAATCTAACAACCAAACTTTATGATAAACGTGATGACTTTAACTTTTCAATCGACAATTTCACTTACTTATGCAGCAATATTATACCTTCATCACCTGCGTACGGGGTTTATATCTCTCAGTTGATTCGATACACAAGAGCATGCTCTACGTATGAACAATTTCTAAAACAAGGTAAGTTATTGATAAACAAAAGTCGTAAGTTGTTTGGTCGATACAATGACCTTGTCAGAAAATACAATTAATCATTCAGTCATATGCTGACTTACGTTTTTCATACTAATTGTTAGGCCATTATTTACACACTGAATTGTCTACGGATTTTTCTGTTATTTCCCGATCGTGACAAGGAGCACACGGCGGGTGTGACCGGTCTGCAGGGGATGCTCACTCCTCCATGGCACCTGATCCCACCTCTGATGTTTTAGAGGTCCGTGTTTGCTCTGTTCCAAAATTTGTATTGTTTAATGGACTTTTGAGCTTGAATACTGTTCGTTATCTCCACATATTCCACAACATAGCAATGTAAAATCATTATTTAGGGTTAATTTGTGTCTTTTAAGGCAATATTAAGATGATATAAAATAGAAACGTGAAAGAAAATGAAGATAAACAATCTAAAGGAAATCTACAAACAATACAAGTCTGTGAAACAGGGAACCGGGGATATTGTAACAAGCCTCCCTGTTGGAACAATAACACATTGTTTAACTCGATATATCCCTGTGAACTTGGAAAAAAGACACCACTGAGACTGCCACATTTGTTTCATATGTATGAATGTTTTACTGATTATAGACGATGAGGGCCAACTATCAATTAAATTTTATAACCATCAAGAAGTAGTAATATTCCGCTATCATCTGTATATGGTGTTACTATTTCCCAACTTATTTGATACTCAAGAGCATTACCCCGAGTGCGATATATTTTTAACCGATACAGGCTATTGATAAAGAAATTAATAGGGCAGGGATTTCAAAAACCCCGATTAAAATCAGCATTTTGTAAATTCTATGGTCGTTATAATGACCTTGTTTCACATAAAACCTATCATTAGGTTGTATTTTTGCTGATGTGTTCCAGACCAATACGCAAGTTTCGATATTATCTCCCTTAGCGCTCTCTTTCTTTACGGAGTGGAGTTTTGTTTTTGCGTAAACCGACAGGTTGGAAACTCATTTTTATAAGAAAAATGATAAATCTTATATAAAAAAGATACATCAATTCTATTTGAACGAATATGTATTTCGCTATAGGCCAAGCAAATATCCAGTTCGTCCGAACAATTCCGAGGAATAAAAATTTACAAAGGAAAACAAATTTTTCAAAATTTATCTATGAAAGTTATGGCCGACATGGATTTTTGTAAATTTGCTATTAAAATTGAAAATTATATAACCTTAAAAAAGAAAAAAAAGAAAGATTAATGCATTTGCTTACGAGGTCATTATAATAAACCAGGAATTTTCGAAATGCTGACTTTTATTAAAACTGTCGAAATCCCTGTAACATCATCTTATTTGTCAGAATCCTAAAATCTGTTTAAAGTTTGATCGTACTCAGAGCATGCTCTAGTGTACCGAAAAAATTTGGGATACTTAAACACTATATGCAGGTGATAGTGGAACATCACTACATATATACATGTACAATGTAAAAATTAAATTGGAAGAGCCGATTCGGAAGTCCTCTCATTTGTCATAGAGTTTAGATGTTAGTGGGTCATAACCGTCTACAACCAGTAAAATATCAAAATATGAAAATGAATTAATGATAAAGATCGACTGTGATGCATCCAATATGCGATTTTTATTGTGTGCTAAAACACAACAGCTGAAATATGAAGATAACTATCAGTAATCAAGCTCAAAAGTCAATTGAAATGACATGGCAGTAAAGCATATGTCTCTAAAAACGTAACAGATGGGATCATGTGTCATGGAAGAGAAAGCATCCTCTGTCGACGGGCACACTTGCTATGTACTCCTTGTGAAGATCGATTAAATGAAAAAAAAATCTGAAGACAATTTATTGTAAACAATAATGGCCTAACAATGATAAACTCAGTCAACATTCGACTTAATGATAGATTGTATTTGCTGATAAGGTTCAGTTCAAACAAGACTGTTTATATTCTTGTTTCATCAACTTGATTGTCAATAACTTGCATCAATTTAGAAATTGTTGGTACGTAGAGCATACTCTTGCGTATCCAATCAACTGGGAGACATAAACTCCATATACAGGTGATAAGACTATATTGCTGCATTAATAAGCGAAGATGACGATAGAAAAGTTGAAGACATGGCGCTTATCATAAAGTTT